TCCATTTTGAAATCACTTATTCTAGTCAGGCAGGACAGGGCAGGAGCAGGGCTGGCATACTGGGTGTTTTCCTGCCAGGCCGCTGGGTGTATCAGCCAGCAAAATTTATTGTTTTCATTGTGAGGACCACAGCAAAATTTACCATAGAGGGACCACAAAGTCCAGGACCGATTTTCAATCCCAGCCCAGCCCTGGACATAAGTACACCATGAATGCAGACACAGACACACCCACGTACCTTAGAGCGGGGGGGGGGCAATCTTATCCGCAAAGGGCCAGTGTGTATGCGGGTTTTCGCTGCAACTCCCTAATTAGATTACTAATTAGAGGACTGATTGGCTGAAGAGTCCTCACACCTGGGTTTGAACAGCTGACCTGCAGGTTATCCCAAAGACCTGCACACACACCGGCCCTTTGCGGGTAACATTGCCCACCCCTGCCTTAGAGGCACCAGTTAGACTAACTGGTGGTTTTTAGACTGCAGGAGGGCTGCCCACTGATCCCTCGTGCTGCCTAATTCATAAGTAGATCTCACTACTAATTACTATGCCTATTACAGGGATACACAATCACAGTATCAAACAGTATTGGCATCGCATCCAGGGTATTACAATGTTCCATGTGCTACCTTGGAAATTCTCCAGGTCAGACCTTGTGATCCTGTGCTGGATAACAGTCAGAAGATGGATGGAACACTAACACATTGTAACGTATAATAGCATCGCAAAAGGATTGCAGCTATTTGTCTGGTGGTTTGGATCTTTGAAGACTGGATACAGCCCCCAGGAGGCACTTTTGAGAAGAATCTGGCGCACAGTCCAACTGCCTTCAACACCACAGTCCAACTGCCTTCAACACCACAGTCCAACTGCCTTCAACACCACAGTCCAACTGCCTTCAACACCACAGTACTACAGCTGTTTTGCCATATGGCAAACAAATGCAGACACCCAACTGTCAAACATCTCATTCTGAAACCAAGGGTATTAATATAAAGTTGGTCAGTCCATTGTTGCCATAATAGCCTTTACTGTTCTGGTAAAGTTTATCATTAGGTATGATTGAGGAACATTGATGCTGAGATTTACTGCCATTCAGGCTGGGTATTGATGTTGGGTGATCAGGTCCCTTTCTGTGAGCTTCTGTGACATTTCAGCTCCCAGACACTTTTGACCTTCACAATCATTTCACTTGCAGTTGACCAGGGCAGCTCTAGCTGGGCAGAAACGTGGCAAACTGACTTTTTGGAAAGATGCCGTCTTATGATGGTGCCAAGTAGAAAGTTACTAACCTCTACTGTACAGCAACCACCCATTCTACTGAGAGAGATTGCATGGCTCCGTGCTTCATTATACATCTGTGTCAGCAATGGGTGGCTAAAATTGCCCACTGTGGCCCAGTCATATCTGGCCTCCTGATCATCCCATATCTCATTGGTGAATTCCCTCCTCCCCCTTCACCACCTTAGCTACTGTGTGGTGAGTGTACTGGTGCAGGATGGCTGCCGTCGCCTCACCCAGGTGGGGGCTACACAGGGGTGGATGAAGTGGCTCCCTCTTGGTTCTGTAAAGCACTTTGGGTGTCTTGAAAAGCATTATATAAATGCAACATTCATTCATGCATTCATTCATTAAGCAATTGCTCTAATTAATAGGCATGTCTACAAACCTTTGGCCATATAGTGTATATGGATAAAATATCTATAAAAATATTTTTAAAAAGAGATGTTGCATATATTCAGGTATGCACTCTATTATTAATATTTCAATATTAATACTATAATATAGAGATGGCACTAATCCAATACCCACAATTGGTTTTCAGGCTGATACGGGCAAAAAATGCTGGATTGGATATTGGGGTGGGGGAGTAAGAAACCAATTTGATTTTCCATCAGAGGCAGGACTAGCTTGAAAAATCGCGAAAATGCTTGTAGCCTTAATGCGACACACCGTAAACAGAAGTGAGGGTCACATGACGGTTAGCGGTTCGTCACACGTGCATCAGACCTATCATGGCGGCATGTGTGGAAATACTGTACTTTTCACGGAAGGAAGAAAAATGCAACACTGCAGGGTGCAATGTATGCAAGGCTAGTGTTGATGTCTGAACACAGTAAAATTTGTACAGACTACATGTCTTCAGACTTGTATTCTTTCTAAAGTTTGGTTAATTGCTACTTAAAAGTTTTTTCTGCACTCTATTGTAGCTCTGTTTTGTACTTTTTCACTAGGAATGGTTAGTTGGGCTATACTGTGACATTTTTATCATCGATTTCTTTATTATATTTTACATGGTAACAAATTGCACAATTTCTGTTCTGTTCTGTGAACATTATTACTGAATAAAACAAAGAAGCAGATTTTTATGAATCATGTCGGTCAGGTATTTCTTCCTGTAACAAAGTGGCATGGCTTTTTTTTGCTGCAACACTAAATGGAGACAGTTTGCCATGTTAATTTAAAAGGATATTTACAAATATCTAATTTAATGCTTAATAGTTGATAAAGGGGAAAAATATCAGATTGGTATCGTTATCGATAGACACTCAACATTTTAATATTAGTATTGGGATTGGACCAGAACAAATGATATTGTGCCATCTCTACTTAATACTAATATTGTTGTTGTTGTTATAACCCTAAGATGAAATGGCATTCTGTTCAGAATGATCCCCTGCACTGTACCCTGTGCTTCAAGGGATAAGCACCAGACTAACTTTCACCTTGCCCTCAAGAAGAAATAAAGAAATGAAGGACGACTGAGTATGTAATATCTTGCATGGTTGCTGCTTTTATAGAAATCAACAAGGATAATAGAAAAAATAGTTTCGAAACAACAAACTGTTTTCTAGAATGTCTGCCTGGGCTGTAAATCCATACCCCTCAAGCAGTGAAGAATCCAACACTGGAAGGTGCCTAGAGACAGTGTAACAGAGAAAGTCACTGACAGGGATTCAGACTTAGTCTCTACTGACTGCTTGTCCTATTCACAGAATGGGTTTCCTGAACTACATCACTGAGGGCGGATTCATAAAAATACACAGTAAGCTGCAAACAAACTGTGGGGAAAAATACAGGGCATTTTACAGGCAAACAAATATTACACTGCGGGTGTTTGGAAGCGCCAGTGCAGGGCATGGGCACAGTGCCAGTATTATTCTGATCTATCAATATCATCTACCTGAGGAATAAGCTTGAGAAATAAGCTTTATTCTGAATATAAGAATCTGTGACATTTCAGCCAAAAATCCCCCCACAACCCCTTTACTAAAAAAGAAAAATGTTTGGATTCACCAGAATTTAATTTTAAAAAATGAATATATGTAATATTTCTATATATTGCTATTTTATAAACAAACAAAAAAACAAATAGATGAAAATGTAAGCTTATTTGTTGATGTCTCCTGCTTGCTCCTCTTTCCAGGAATGTGGCTTCAGCAGATCATGGACTGTATCCAGACATCTGACATGTAGCCGGGATTCCAGGGATTGGATGAGACAAGTGCGCTGATCCTGTTCGACACATTCAGCTACATTCCAAGCCCTGCCTCTGGCAACTGGAGCAGCAGTGGACACCAGTGGCCAACCTTTGTTATCTATCCTCAACAGACATTCATGAAGCACATAAGTGTTTGCATGTATATAAATGTGCCTTTTTTTCATCTGCAGTCTTACTTAAAAGGGTCAGATTTTTTATATTTCTCATATGGGTTTTTTTCCAGTTTGTTTGTTTATAAAAAATGTACCATGCAAAATAAATTCTGCATGTCAAATGAAAGCTATCGAAAGCTGTGAGCTACACGTGTTTTCATTATTGATACTACCCCAATATTGAGGCAACACATTTTCATCAAAACAACCCACAATCTTGTAAAACATTCATGTTTAGAAATGATTGACTGATTTTTTAAAGGCTACCCTACATTGAAGTCATCCACAATTTAGAATACATCTGCGTGGGGTTCGATACAAGGCCCCCTAGTGGCAATATATTTACAGGAAAAACCTTACCCTAGCTGATTTTTAGCAAAATGGGAGGGTCCATGACGATTTGCAAATCTTAGCATAAACATAGTTTTAATACGTCCATAAAATATTACAGGGTTTAGTTTAATAAGCGGGTTATATTTTGCAAATACACAGAGGTCATACAAAAGTAAACTGGATATGTTATTATTAACTTAGTAATTTAACAGTGAAAGCTGGTAATACGTAGTACCAAGGACCAAGTACTTAGGCCTGTGTTTGTTAAACTGTTAACATTACATTAGATACAGTGCTACAAAGTGAAGACATTAAAAGGAAGCGATTTTATACGCTCGTAACCTTCATAAGGGATGTTGCGGCATTATTTTATTAAGAATAGCAAAACGACTGTTTTGAAGTTCACATTTCTCCAGCCCCTGATAACCAAGCCTTTTTAACATAGCCCTAATCACCGAAATAAAAATATGTGGCGCGCAGGGAACAACGGGCTACTTTTATGTGGGTTAATTACAAAGCTCCTAAACTCCGTATGAAATAAAGATATAGAATGTGTACAAAACACATTAATGGGACAATCGAAAATGCATTACTGTCGAAAACAGAAGGTGGGCATTGTGTTAGCATAAAAATGTTTCAGAACTTTGAGAAAACATCTCTAGTGGAAAAGTGGTTCAGGACACCGACAACACGCACGTCGCGGACGCCAAAGCAAAATTTCATAGTAGCGTATAAGTTTAATGGCCACGGAGTTGCAATTTAATAAATGGGGCTTCGGAATTACGGACAGCTAAGGCAGAGAGAATTAAACATTTCATTAGCAATGTATACATATTAAGCAATGATATTAAAAAGTAATAAAGTGTCGAAAGAGGATGGCTTTTCATATATGACCTGCATTTGCAATATGTGTAATTGATAGGCAAACAGTGATAAAGCGAAGGAAAAAATATGAATTGGCCTATATGGCGAATGAACACGAATGAATGGAATAGTAAGTGGAGATGCGCTCACCTGCTGGCGACCTGTTTTTCTCCTCCATGTTCCTGCATCCACTCGACGCTCTTGATGCACCTTTCCGGCTATTTCACTGACCTGCTGCTCCAGTCAGGCGCAGGTGACAATGCGATGCCTATTATCTATACGGAACCTAGATATACAGCTACTCAATTAATATAAATTCCGTATTAAATGATCCAAGAAATATTTCAAGCCTAAATAAAAATGTTTATATATTTAGACACGTGGGATTTATGATAATTGATGCATTTGTCGAATTTCCCGTCTATGTGATGACGATTGTTCCATAAAAAATATAAAAATTGTTAAAATATCGTACGTTGTTGTGCCGCTTAAAAGACTCCAGTGGAGGTGATGAGCGTTTAACTCGTTTTTGCTTGCCAAATGAAGCGTCTCCTCGGTCTCCTCCACTTGATGGGGACCCTTTGTACTTCTGCTCGATTAGGTTCAGTTTGCGGATGCCGTCTCCGGAGTTCCTCGCTGTCACTTCAAGCAGGTGACAGACGTCCACGGAAGGGTACTTGGAGTTCTTTATTTCTTCATTTCCATAGATTAAAACTTGTGTTGTGCAAAATCAAAATGGTCCGAGGCAGCAATTGCTTAGCAGAATTAAACTGAATTGGTGTCGCAATCTCGCGGCTTTGTCAGTTTATTAGAATATACGACCATGCTGTTCACCTCGGTTTATGCTTTTTCCCTGTAACCCGCAGTTCAGTACTTCACTTGCTAGTTCAAATCCGTGCATTTGCAGCGCAAAAAAAGAAAATGAATGGGGAAAAAATACCACTGCAAAACATAAGAAACGACTCTGGTTAAAAATTATGCCAGTGATATTTAGCAATTTTGTGTCTTGTTATTCATTTTCAATAGGAAAAACTATTAAAATAATGTTCCTTTGGTCAAGTGCATTGTTTCTCCGGTCTGCAGAATAGCAATCCCTTTCGTGCGTCCCTACCAGCCTTCCCAGGGTTACTAATTCCAGTATTCACCGCTGATTCGCATTTCATTCACTACAGCATTTCATTTCCATCCCTTCTCATTGTCTCATCGTCTCCACCTCTCGGTGATGAAGCGTACACGTGCACTGGGTCCTAGCGCCTGAAACTGGTGTGGCATTTAAAATTGGGGTGTGATGCTCGTCTAGACGTGATTCTGCGACCACGCAGAATAATCTCGATGACGACCGTCACCCAGTGGAGTGGCTTTGTAGCTGTAGAAAAACCGTTCCTCATCATAAAGTGCTAATGAGCTCCTGTTTCGTTCTTGAATGAGCCCATTCACCCATCCTCCTACTCGCTATTCGTACCCAATTATATACTGCAGTGTGTGCTCCAGGCAGAGATGCCAGTCCATTGCATGGCAAACACATACTCTCATGATCACACACTTTGGATGATTATTCACCAAACTGTGTGTTTGATGGAAATGCACAGGAGAACCTGGTACAGCATGCATTCCTCTTAAATACTCGTTATTTTTTCAAACAGCGCAATATATAACCTAGAGCAGTAAAGCAGTATCATATCATTTAAAAAATGAAAACAAGCTGCAGCACTGATCATGAGATACGGGAGCTGTTGATGATCAGAGAGGAGGGGTGTCTTAGGTGATGTGGAAGACCCTGAGGCATTCCCCCAGGTAATGTGCTCACATCCACATCTACAGGAGTAAACCTGGAAAGCATAGCGACATGGAGGTTCAGGTAAATAATGCGGCAGTTAGTTTTCTTCAAATGTCATCTCATCAATAAAGTTTGCAAGTAGAGAGTTGAATAATTCTCTTTCCATGGATTCAGTGTCTCTTTCTAATGATCCATGTCTCTGGCCTTTCTGTGCTGGAAAGGAGAGACACTTGCTGAAAACATCCCCTTAATGTCCCCCTATGCACTGACCTGTCAAGATTCATGCCAGAGGTGAAGAGCTCTTCGTTTTCAGCAGCTGAGTTTTGAGCTGAACCAGTCCGCAGGCACTGCTATCATTATGAAAAATGCCGAGAACCTTCTCCTATATCTTTTCCTACTTACTCCATAGAAATATTCCTACCTGTTTATTCAAATGTTGTGGGTTTCATAGAATGACATTTGCAGTGAGTGTCATTCTCAAATCATCAAGACTCTGTATTACCCTCAGTCATGATGGAAAAAGAACTCACTGAAATGTGACCATATACCTTTCATGCTCATTTGCTTAAGGGTGATAATCATTGAAAAATGTGCAAAAGCAGAAAAGGATGATTATTACAAACACTGGACTGACTGATACACATCAAACACTGGGCTGATTGCTCAGCTTTGCTTTGTTCCGGGATATATAAAGCATTCAGGCAATTCTGGGCACAGGAAGTAGCATTTAAGACCCTTATGTAATACACATTTGTAGGGAACAGGGACCTGCGTTTGAAGTTTAAAAAGATTGGTTTGATGAGCTGTCTTGTGTAAAAGCTGTCATATTACATGAGAGAAACAGCATAGCACTATTATAGAATAATTAATCCAATACCCAACCATGGGAGTCTTCTCTCAAAACAATATTCAATTTCTTATTAACCAGAAAAAAAATGTTACCATGGACATTTCCTTCCTGAAGAGGGTCTAAAATAATAATATTTATTTTACTCTAATATATTTCTGTTCACCTCACAAACCTGCAGTAGGTATGTGTTTGGAATATGGATGGATATGTCTAAACAGAGCTTTGAAGCATAGATAGTTTAATTGTGATCCTATAATTTGCATATATGCACCACTGCATTAAATAAATCTGCTTATTCAACACGGGGTCACGGATCGCCTGAGGCTGGTCCCAAGAAGCGCTGGGCACAAGGTAGAGGACAGGATGCCAGTTCATCAACGGCAACATACTGACACACCGTGGGCAAATTAGATATGTCAAAACCACATTATTTCGGACTGGGGGTACATATCGGAGTACATACACTCACACGGGCAGGAATCGTTCCATAACCCTGTAAGTATAAGACAGTGATGAGACACCACGCCACCGAATGGATAACATAAAAATTGTAAGTCTGGTCATTTTTGTTGGACTCAAATATGTCATTACACTACAGATGCTCTGTATGTGAAAACAGATGTCACGTTTGGCTAACAGTTATAAACAACTAAGCCATCAGATGGCAAAGAGAACTAAACGGAATTTTGTCAACACGCAGCATACTGCCTGTGAATCACCCAGTGAGGGCGCTCTATTGGACATCAACCAAAATTAGATCACAGTAAATGACCCCGGAGTCCCATTAAATATTATATAGAGTCCTGTAAAATAGGTTTGCTCGCTTTTGCGCGACTTTATGGGTAAAACCCGAGGTTAGAAGTATGTGGACATTTCGTTGGTCTAGTTTCAGTAACGAATATTTATTGTATCTCACATGGCTGTTTCCTGCAATCCCTGAATCATGCTCCTGCGGCAGAAGAGAAGTATTATTGCTTTTGGAATTGATACAGACATGACATTCATTTCCTGTCCAGGGTCTTTTGTTTATCACAGCGAGGAACACCCAGGATGGAGGCAAAAACACAGCGTGATCACTGCTACTCCAAAGCCAATTGAATTCGCTGCGTATAACGCACACATGCACGCGCAACGTCTGCAATCTGAACTGAAGCCCAGAAAGGCGATCATACAGCGGGCAGCTGCAGAGAGCAGCCTACCGACTTTTCTGAATCATTAAAAACCCCAAACAAGCCGTCTGAACATGAATGTAGGGCACATTCACTTCACCACAATGGACGTCTCAGGTGTCAGTGGGTGTTTGTGAAGATAACGTCAGAACTGAGACCTGTGGAGACTGAGAATCGCCACAAATGGCCATATTTCCGATTTGGATTCGCGACAAATGGAGCAGCAACCAGCACATTCTTGACGAGCACCATAAGGGAATCATTCTGTCTAATATCCTATCTTTTCAGGGGTAGTTAAAAAGACAAAATGTCTGTAAAAAAAAAAAAACCTAAAATTATTTACTTGGCTAAATTTTAAGAAATTATTCGAATAAAGCCATAGCATATGTACAGTGGGCGTTAATGTGTGTCTCCAGGTTTGCGCTGTTGCTTCATTGTGTTTAAATAATTCTCTCTATTCTGGCCTCTGCAGTGGACAAGATCAATCATGCAGTCCGTCACACAGTCACCCAGATTCAGCTGTTATAATGGCACCGACGGGACTGATCATTCAACACAGGAGGACGATGCATATAGTTAGGGTTCCCATCGATTTTTCCTTATATCTCTCATAAAACACAACATAATATTCAATATCATCCTTTGTTTCTCAGGAAATGTCTAAGCCCCGGCGCACCACAGATATGTTTAATCATCACCATATGTGCAATTAAATCGCGTTTAATGCCTCTATGGAATGTTTATGGCAGTTACACTTCTAGTTAAAGGTGTACTCAGCACAACTAAATTATTATTAAGAGCCACATTTTTGTGTAGTTATCTATGTGGCTTGATGGCTAGACATGACCATACATATGACGTGTCACCGCTATATGATGTGTCTTTCGTCAGTATTTTAGCCTCTGTCTGAGAAATTTTTTTTTGGGGGGGGGGGGCGCTTGGCAAACATCACTCAAATAAAGCAGATTTACTTCAGGCATGGCTGGCAATAAAGATGCTTGCCCAACTAAATGTCACAACAGTACCCTCTGCTGTGCAAACACTGTATAGCACCCTGATATGGCTTGGGGACAGCAGTAACCCGACAACAGAGTAATTTATTTAGTGCATGTCTAAAGATTTACCAGTAATGATATGTAAATAAAAGGAGCAGCCAATGAGTCATGGTAAAGCTTCACTGACCTGCACGTCTTGGTTGATGTCGTGTCTCCGGTGGCTGAGCAGAAGAGACAAAGCGAGGCCATTCCTGATCTGTAACGCGATACTTCCAGACAGCCAAATGCAGAATGTTGCTGTTTGCGGCAAAACACACAAAACGAAAACACAATTTGTCAAGATTCAGCAGATTAATGAAAACAGGGAGGGTGGGAATAAGGAAGGCTACACCTGCAGTCGTTCCACCAAAAACTCTTAAAATTAGTTTCATTGTACTTTGATATCAGTTTCTGTGGATTTCTTTTGAAATTGTTGCTTCCTGGGATATGGTTATCAGCAAAAGAAACTGTAATCTCAGCAGAGGCGGTGACAATGATGAATGTTTGCACATGGTAAAATGTGCAGAACCATGCATAAAAAAGAATATAGTGGTACAGTATGCTATTTTTAAAAAGCTGATCATTCAATTTATTAAGTCAGATACTTAGGCCAATGTGTAGGCCTTTATGTGTTTGAGTTTTGCTGTATTTATTTAGACTAGGACTATATAACAATATTAATAATAATAACTACAGCATTTGCTATATATTTGCTGTATGATCATTTCTTTAAATGCATCTTAAGAGCAGAACTTATCCTCAATGGACACTAAGTACCGGCATTTCTGTAAGGCGTTGGCGCGTCCGAAGGCTGATTCCCATACGAGGAAGTTCAGCAAAGCTTCTTTTCATCCGGAAGGTGACACCCTCATTATCGTTAAATGCAGAGAGGTCTCTCCTGGAGACTCAGAGCTGCTGCCGGTGTAAATTAAAAGCGCTCCTTTGGGTTTCCGAGACAAAGGGCTCTTACACAAGCGGACGCTGTTCAGTATTCTAGTCTTCCCTGCATCCGTCTTTCGCTTCTTTTGTATTTATGTAAAACTCAAGCCATTTCTGATTTTCCCAAGAGTGATAGGGACCCTTTCTTTTGAACGTTGTCAACAATGAGCCGAATTAAACATTCCTGTTATTGATTTTATTGTGTTTGCTACATTCTGTTCTCAGCACGCAACACTAATTCATATCCAATTCGCGAAGGAAAAAGTTGTTTCAGTTTCTGAATTTCTGTATATAAAATGAAGTTTTACCATTTTTGGTAAATATTCTGGTGGAATGCCTTCCTTGTCTTCCATCTCTCCATCCATCTATCCACCAATCTATCCATCTTCCATTCACTTATTCCTGTCTTGTCAGGGTTATGGGGAACTTGGAGCTTACCCCAGGGAACACTGGGGCACAAGGGACGTTCTTGTATGCCAACTGATATCAGATATACATAAAAATAATAATTTACAGATGCTGCAAATTTGACAGCTTGCTTTGGCCCTCCACTTTCCAGCTG